GCTCAATGAAATAAGACAGCTTGGCTATTAAATCACTATGCAACTTTGAGGGAAGTCACTTAAGACCTCTAAGCCTCATTTTCTCATTCTGTAAAAATAGACTGTCATCAGATCCGTGATGGGCATCATTTCCGTCTTCCTTCTCCTGGTCAAAAGCATTACTGATAATACAGGGGCTTGCCATAGTAAAAACTTTAAATAAAGCATGTGCTATCCACACTGATAAGCAATGTGAATGCCTTGAAACACAAACCCAGTTTGCATTTGAAGGAGTTTTGAATCTGTTTAGAAAAGTACTCAATGGAGACCCCAGAACTGGAAGCAATAAGAGAGGAAAGATGCAGGGAATATCAAGCAGCTGCCTTCTCTATAAAAGAACATCTGATTTGAGAAAAATGGCATCCGATGGACTAGCAGGATGAGTGAGCTGTAAAACACCCCTCTGGAGACCTCAGTGAATTGACCTGGTGGGGTGGGTGAAGTTATTGCCCATTTGTAAGCTGGAACATTTTTCCCAAAAACATTATTTTTGTTTTAGCATAGCTTATGCTAAACGTCTTTTTTCAAGCAAAAGGGGTTTGTTCATGCTCCTTTTGTTTTGGCAGTTGGGGCTCAGGGATTTTTGTATAATATTTATAACTTAAATTTGAGAAGGATTTTAATGTTGTTGGAATAACAGCTTCCATTTACTGAGCATTTATTGGATGCTAGGAATCATTCTGAGTGTTTTACATATTTTGTCTTGCTATTCAGGAATGAAAAGAATAAACTGTTGTACCCTCAACAACATGAGTAAATCTCAAAATCAAGCTGAGTGAAAGGAGCCAGACAAAAAAAAGAGGGCTATTGTATGATGATTCCATTCTATAAAATTCTAGAAATTGCAAACTAACCTGTAGCGACAGAAACAGACCAGCGGTTGCCTTAGACACAGAGCAGGGCGGGGGGGTGTTGGGAGGGAGGGAGGGACTCTCAAGGCGATGCAGTGTACATTATTTCAATCATAGTGATGGCTTCATGATGGGTAAACATTTAAAAACTTATCGGACTGTGTGCTTTAACACATACCATGTATTATATGTCAATTATAACTAAAAAAGTATTTTATAAATGGAAAATGTTGAAAAATTATGTTGCATTTTAGTAGGAGAATGGGTAAATGAGCTGTGATTTAGTCACACAAGGGAATTCTATGCAGCAGTGAAAACCAGTGAAGAAGCACTCCACATGCATTAAAACAGACAAGGATGAGAAAAGCAAGTTGCCAAAGGAAGTTATAATATGATACATATTTAAAATTTAAAACAAACAACAACATCATGTATTCCATGGCTACATACATCTACCAAAATCGTAACTTGGGAATGATGGCACATCAGCCGTAGTGGTCCTAGTCTGGTTGCCAAGGGCATGATGGGGGAAGTGTGTTAGCTGTACTTGAAATGCTAAGACCCATAGCAAGATGACAGGAATGTTAACATCTGTGAAGCCTGGGTGGTGGGTACATGGGCATCTGTTATACTCTTGTCTGTACTTTTCCGCATACTTGAAATATTTCATAATTTTAAAAAAGTTTAAGTCATTCTCCATCCCCACTCTTGGCATCCGGTTCCCCTTGCCAAGGGCGACTGCTGTTGCTTGCATGCCCCCCCGGAGATATACTTAGGATGTATAAGCATAGATGTGCGAGTGTATATGTATGCAAAGTTTTATATGTCTCTTTTTAAACAAGACATAATTTGGAGCATACTATACACACTGTTCTGTATCGTGTTTTTCTCACTCGACAAAGATTTTGGAAATGGAGCCAGCTTAATTCATACAGAATGTCCTCATTCTTTGTAATAACCCTTAGCATTCTATCATATGGATAACTGGACTATTTCCTGTCTTTTGCCATCATTACATTTATTGCCTTATAAACACTCATTCTGCACATCTGTCTGGGTTTACTGCCTGCCCTTTAAAGCAGACTGTACCACATCACATTCAACGTAATTCCATAGGGTCTTAAACACAAACCTGGGCTTCAGAAAGAGTGATGGAGGGCAACCCTGGAGGTTCAGTGGTTAAGATTCTGTGCTTACTCTGCAGAGGGCGTGGATTTGATCTCTGGTCAGAGAATTAAGATCCTGCATGCCTCATGGAAAAAACAGAACAGAGACATGGACTCCTGCTGTGGGCGGGGCAATTCACTTCTTGTCTGATGTCAGAGCAGCCGCCCTGTGGGTTCCTGCATCTCCTTTTTACATTTTCTATTTCCCCTGGGATAGCAGCTTTCTTGTTCCAACTTTTATAACTGCTAAGCACCCTTCCTCCTGCCATCTTGTTACTTCTGAAATGCTTTCAGCTAAGAAGCCAAATGAACAAACTTGTTTGGACTGTGACTAAAGTGATGGATGGGAATTTTCAAGTAAGGGAATCTGGCATTTTTCAGAACCAAGGATACGATACTCATCTCTTTTTTCTTGGCAATGAATTTTTACTGTCTAGTCAAAGTACTTTTTACATTATAAAATCATTATAATAGGGTTCTAGAAAATAATCTTTCTAGACTCAAATAGTGTCGTTAGTGTTAAGACTAATATTATCAAATATTTATTTCAATTTCCAAAGAGTTTTATTTTCAGGGGAGGAGGTATAGCCTAGTGGTTAAGGACACAGGCTCTGAAGTCAGACCCTCTGGATTCAAACCCTGGATTCAAACCCTGGCTACTGTGTAGCCTCGAGGAGCTTATTTAACTTCACTGTGCCTTGGTTTTCTCATCTACGACATGGGGATGATAAAAGGACTTACTTCACAGGTTTGTACAAGATTAAATGATTTGGCGACTTCCCTGGTGATCCAGTGGCTAAGACTCCAGGGGGTGGGGCGAGGCTGTTCTAGTGTGAGGAGTGAGAGGGGGCTTTCTCCTCAGCCCGGCCACTAACCTCCTCTCGTGGGGAGGCTGGCTTCGGCACTTCTTCAAAAGGAGGCTGCTTCTAGGGTCAGTGTGAGGAGTGTTTCTGCACAAAAGGAGACTCAACAGTAAGTGAAGGTCAAGGAGAAAGTGGCTGGGGTACGGGAGACATATGCAGTGACCCTTGGGATCCCTGAGGGCCCCGGTCCTCTTGGGAGCCGTAAATGCCCTGTGAAATGCACGCTCTGTGTCCCCAGCGGACTAAAGGGCCACACCAGCCTAGTGGCACCACGGTGACCTCAGGCAGCCATGTACTTGTACCCGAGCCTCAGCTCCCCCACGTATAAGGTGTGAGGGGTGCATGAAATGACCTCTAGAGACCTTTCTGGTGCCCATGGAAATCGTCCAGTGGGTTTTCCGTTTTCTTTGTCATCAAGGCACTGACCTGCTCCGTGTGGAACTCCTGCCCTGGAGTTCAGCAGTCAGGGAGGCACGTCAGGAGAAAGAAAGGATGGGAAAGGGGACCTTGCTAAGGTGTGGAGAGAGGGCCAGACGGGGGAGGGGACAGGCAAGAGAGGAGCCAGAGGGGATCAGCCGGGGAGGGGCCTGACCTCCGTCCCAGCTCAGAGTGGAGGACATCAGGACGTGGTCCCTCCTCCATGCCCCTGGGACCTTTATATGAGCAGCTCCTTGCAGGAAATTGCCCTCAGCAGGAAACCCCTTTTCTTGGCACTTTAGTGAAGCTATAGTGTAACTAGCCTGGAACACTACAGTCCATGGGGTTACAAAGAGTTGGACATGACTGAGCAACTCACATACAAACACATTCGGTAACTCACTTTTTAAACCAGGCACCCCCATGTTCTACTTGCCTTTGACCTGAGCACACCTTTCAAATCCTTTCGTCACACAATACCTGGCCTAACTTGCCAGTTCTTCCCATAGATCAAAGAAGTAGAAATGGCAAATAAGCAATTAATAGATTGATTGCTCCTTGGAAGAAAAGCTATAACCAGCTTAGACAACATATTAAAAAGCAAAGACATTACTTTGCCGATAAAGGTCCATAGAGTCAAAGCTATGGTTTTTCCAGTGGTCAGGTATGGATGTGAGAATTGGACCATAAAGAAAGCTGAGTGCCGAAAATTGATGCTTTTGAACTATGGTGTTGGAGAAGACTCTTGAGAGCCCCTTGGACTGCAAGATCAAACCAGTCAATCCTAAAGGAAATCAGTCCTGAATATTCGTTGGAAGGACTTATGCTGAGGCTGAAGCTCCAATACTTGGCCAAAGGATGCAAAGAACTGGCTCATTGGAAAAGACCCTGATGCTGAGAAAGATTGAAGGCAGCAGGAGAAGGGGACAACAGAAGATCAGATGGTGGGATGGCATCACCAACTCGATGGACACGAGTTTGAGCAAACTCTTGGAGTTGGTGAAGGACAGGGAAGCCTGGTGTGCTGCCATCCATGAGGTCACAAAGAGTTAGACTCGACTGAGAGACTGAACTGAACTGAATTAACTGATGACCAGACCTCTCCCAAGATTCCTCTTCAGTCATCTTGCAAATTAATCAAACTGTGTGAACAAGATGATGTCTAGAGCAGCAGTCCTCAACCTTTTTGGCACCAGGGACTGGTTTCCTGGAAGATGATTTTCCCACAGACTGAGGGGTGGGGGATGGTTTTGCATTGATTCAGGTGCATTACATGTACTGTGCACTTTATTTCTATTATTATTGCATCAGTTCCACCTCAGATCATCAGACATTAGATCCTGGAGGCTGGCGACCCCTGGTCTAGAAGAAGACCTCTGGAGCTGACAAGCCTGCATGCAGTGGGGGGATGGCTATGACTCTGACCTCCCCCATCCCTATCTCAGTGATTAACTGAGATGATTTCTTTCTGTCTAAACATTTTCACCGCGGAGCAGCGTCTTGGGAAGTGTTTTTTTGGAAGATGCTGAATCCACCCTCTCCCCAGATTGCTGGCACTTTGATTCAAGGCCCCTTTCTCTTCCCTGGCTGGTGAGTGTGTACCTGATTGTGTAAGCGGCGAGCAGCAGGCCGACTCGCCTGGTTACTGATGCGCTGACACTCACCCTGCAGCATGGCTGATGTGGTGTAATAGTTGCAGGGCACGTTTTTCACCAGGTACGCCTCGGGGTCCAGGCTGGCCAGAGTCGCCCCCACCAGCACCGACTTGCCTGTGCCCGCTGTTCCCACCAGCATGACCGGCCGCCGCTGTGCCAGGAGCCGATCCAGGAAGTAGCAGAGGCGTATGGTCTCGCCGGTGTGTACCAGGCAGGCCTGGGGTCAGGGGGAGACGGGGCGGGGGTGGTGGGAGACAGGAGGAACGAACTGGGGGCTTGTGGGAGGCTCACATGCTGTCAGAGCACCCTGGGGCATTTCAGGACAGGGAATTGCCTGTGCTGGGGTTGGGGGGCTCACTACTGCAGGCTGGGGGGCCCCCTGTCACCCAGAGAGACCCTCCCGGTAACTCTTGCTGTGGGCAGAGGGCACGCCCATCCCCCTCTACTAGCGCTGTCTGCCTCCCTGAGGCCTCTGGATTGTATTTTAAAGCCTTAAGCCTGGTCATCCCCACCCCCCTCCTCCACCTAGTCTCAGGATGCCTGCAGGTGGTCCTGCTAATTAAGTTACCTAGGCTTTGGGAGATGTTAGGACTATGCTGAGGGCTTCCCTGGTGGTTCAGCAGTAAAGAACCTGCCTGCAATGAAGGAGACATAAGAGACACAGGTTCGATCCCTGGGTCGGGAAGATCCCCTGGAGGAGGGTATGGTGACCCACTCCAGTATTCTTGCCTGGAAATTCCCATGGACAGAGGAGCCTAGCAGGCTATAGTCCATGAGGTCGCAAAGAGTCGGACTGAAGTGACTTAGCACACACACATGCATGACTCTACTGAACCTATAATTTCCACTGCAAAGAAAAGTAGCTAATTCTTAATGAGGTCAAACCTTTTGGGACTCTGTTAGGGGCTGCCACAAGAGCCACCACAGATTCTGGGGACATTACATATCCCTGGTCGCTGCTCAGCCACACTCACCTGCAGAGGTGTCTCAGGGTCAAATTCAAACTGCGGGATGAGCCTGGACCAAGGCTCGAACTTCTTGGTCTCTGGGTCTATGTAATAGTCAAAGATGGTTCCTTGGGAGGGAAACTTGATGGTCTTGAACTCACTGAGCCACCATTTGCTGAACTCTGCCCGGTGGTCCACGAGCTGCCCAAAAAAAGCAAGTCAGGAGTCAGGGCTCCGCAGAGCATGAGAAGCCTGGACAGGCTGCCCTGCATCAGGCAGAAGGTCGGGGCCGGGGGCACAGGCGGCTCCTCCTTGTCCCCCAAGGACCAGCCCAGACAAGGGCCAGCTAAGCGTCTGGAGTGTGTATGTGTGCACCTGCTTGACCACGGGGCTGGGTCGCCCTGGCCTGGTGCATCTCAGAGCCCTGGCAGGTGGAGGGGAGGGAGGGAAGGAGGTGTAAGAACACAGCGGAGAGAGGGAGCCTGAGACCCCAAGGAGGGCAAGTGCAGCCAGGAGCTCTCAGAGCCTGATCCACCACATCCCCCTCGACTCCCGAGACGCTGAGCCATGTCCGGACGGCAATCCGGGACAGAAGGAATAAAATGGTGCCTGTTAGAACTTCCCTGGTGGTCCAGTGGTTAAGACGTCACCTTCTAATACAGGGGGTGCGGGTTTGATCCCTGGTCAGGGAGCTGAGATCTCACATACCTCTTGGCTAAAAAACCCCAAATATAAAACAGAAACAATATTGTAACACCTTCAATAAAGACTTTATAAATGGTCCACATTAAAAAAAAATCTTTAAAAAATAAAGTGTGTCTGTAGACAGCTGGAGGGCACAGGAAGAAACAGCGGTAAAAATCTCAGCAGGGGAGTGGCGTACATAACCACCAGCAAATCACGGCTTTTCATGCCACAGTTTCCTCATCTATAAAATGATGATTCTAGAAAAGAGTATCTCTGAATTTCCTTCCAGAGCTAAAATCCTCAAATCTAAGGACAATGGAGACAAAGCTATACAAGTCTTTCAGACAGAAGGAATAGACAGACACACATATTGCAGCCTGAGCCCCTAAGATAGGGCTGTGCACCCGAGTACTCAGGCTCTCTCTTTCAGACCGAAATGTAACACGCACCCTCCCCACAACACACCCACACGTGCACACACAAATGCCCACCGCTGCTGGCTACCTTCTTGGGGAGCCAACCCACTCTTTGAACACACAGACCTAGGAAAAGTCCTAAAGATGGAGAAGGTTCAGAGTGGGCATTTTAGGAAACGTTTCTGCAGAGCAGGACAGGCTAGGGAGCTGGGCGCATCATGAATCTGAACTTGGAAGAAATGACAGTGACTTTGTCTACTCAGTAAATAGGATTGAATTCCTGCACCTTAAAAAGAGAATGGAAACAGGCTCTAAGGACAGGTTTGTTTGCTCTTCTTATTCTGATCTGAATTTAGATTAATGGGACAATGTATCTTCCTAATATCTGTCCTCTGCAATCAGAAATGTTAGGGAGAAAAAAATCCCAATCTTTGACCCTTGGATGAAATTCTTTTTTTTCCTCTGTAATTCTTTATTAAAAATACTGCTGAAGATAGAGACTGAAAATGAGATTAAAGATTAATAACCCTGATTGGGATCATGACATCGGAACTCAACATACTGGTGCTTTTTAGGGAAGGTGTTGACATCCAAATTGTAGAACGAAGGTCAAAAGCAAAATGCAAAGGTACCCTCAAAGATATTTACAATGAAGTAAATACACTAACAGAATTTAAAATAGGTGCAAAAAATATAAAGAACCAATCTTACATGATTTCAAGGGTTGTGCTTTCTGTGGTTTTTCATCATAATAGGAAGGTATGGGAAGTTTATGGGCTTCCCTGGGGGCTCAGATGGTAAAAAATCTGCTTGCAATGCGGGAGACCCAGGTTTGATCCCTCCCTGGGTTGAGAAGATCCCCTGGAGAAGAGAATGGCTATCCACTCCAGTCTTCTTGCCTGCAGAATCCCATGGACAGAGGATCCTGGCAAGCTACAGTCCATGAGGTCACAGAATCAGACACGACTGAGCAACTAACACACGCACACACAGTAATTTTATATTCTTAGTTTGAATACTCTCAGATATTAAAATCTTCCTATGAATTAAAACAATTTTTAGACAACCTCTTAAATGGAATTACACTATGGAAAAAGACAGCTTCCCCTTAAATCACCTAAGCAGAACTAAGAGTGGTCCAGAAAAACCATTCCCCATAAAAACTAAGTGAAAAGAAAATATGAAACAAAGCTTAAAAAAAGTGTCTTACCTGACAGCAACTGTTTTCTGGCTGACAGTATTTATTCATGAAAACATAACAGCTGTTTACCTTTAGATAAAAAAATCCTTGAAGACCTTTGGCTTCCTAAAGAAAACCAGATTTTAGGTTTATATGGAGAATCCAAGACACAGACCAGCTCTAGAAAGAAGGAGGTTGGTGATGGACCCTCTTTCCTCACTTTCAATTCCACTTGGAGCTACCTCGTCTGTTTCTCAGCCAAGCCATTCACGGGCTGCACTGTCTGGCTTCCTGAAGCCTGGTGCTGGACCTAACCTCTACTCCAACTGGACGCTAGAAAGACAAGGTCACCTCTGCTGAGCCATCCAGCGGCCTTTTCTCAGTTTGACTCTTTGAGTGTCTCTGCCCTTTGAGCGACCTCAGTGAAGGGGCTCCTTTTGAACTCCAGCTCCTTTAGATTCCGACAAGTCTCTGGTCGCCTTCCTGCCCTTTGAACTTGACAACAGGAAGGCTGACATACAGTGTGGTGCGATGTAGCCGAGTTTGGAAACACAGTATCACCTCGTTTGATCTTCATGATGCTCTAAGCCTGCCTGGCTACTGAAAATCACTCCTATTTTATGTGTGAAAAAGCAAAAGCTCAACGGTTACATTCTAGCAGCATATGGCAGAATTGGGAGTCAGGGGAAAGAATGGTGGTGGGCGAAGGGACAGTTAGGGAGTTTGGAATGGACATGTACACACTGCTATATTTAAAATGGATAACCAACAAGGACTGACTGTATAGCGCAGGCAACTGTGTTCAGTGTTATGTGGCAGACTGGATGGGAGGGGAGTTTGGGGGAGAATGGATACATGTATATGTATGACTGAGTCCCTTTACTTAGCCTGAAACTATCACAACATTGTTAATCAGCTGTACTCCAATATAAAATAAAAAGTTTGTGTATTTTTTTTTTTAAGAAAAGAATTGGGAGTTGAACCCAGGTGCCCAATAGGGTGCTGAGAAGCATTTGCTTCTGAGAGATAATTTCCTGTGATTGCTGCAAAGTATTTAGCCAGGATCCACCTGCCCACTCCCTCTTTTTATTGGAATGTCTACCCAGGTATGGGCTGTGCTTTGTATTATATTCTGCTTTGCGTTAATAACAGCTTTTTCAGTATAAGCACCATTGGTGTTCCTGATGTGAATATTCTGGCTACCTTCATATTTGTCTATTTACAGCGCTATTTCGTGTTCGGCTTGAATGCAGGCTGCGAGGGGGTCTTGGACATCCCTGCTGCTGAAAGCTTTCTCCTGTGTGCTCTGCCCCCCTCCACCCTCCAGGGCCAGCACGGCCGCCGACAGCTCCAAGTGCTCCAGAGCCCGGGACGCCCGGAGGGAGGCTTTCTCTTGGGCTTTTAAAAAGAGCTGAGTGGATTTAAATTTTTCCACACGGAGATAGAAAAAATTGGCCAAGTGTCTTTATCCTGATACCCCACGGCCTGCTCAGCACCAGTGTAAGAGAGGAGCTCAGCAGTGGTTGCTGACATTTCAGCAGCTGAAACGTCAGGGCCTGCATCTTTTAAAAGTTATTTATTTATTTCATTATGGCTGTGCTGGGTCTTCGTTGCCGTTTGTGGGCTTTTCTCTAGTTGTGGTGAGTGGGGGTTATGCAGGCTCCTCAGTGCGATGCTTTCTCTTGTTGCAGAGCACGGGCTCCAGGAACATGGGCTCAGTGGTTGCCACTCGCGGGCACTAGAATACAGACTCAGTAGTCATGGTGTAGGGGCCTAGTTGTGGGATCTTTCTGGATCAGGAATCGAACCCAAGTCCCCTGTCTTGGCAGGTGGATTCTTATCCACCATGTCACCAGGGAAGCCCCTACCTTTTTCTTTGGAAGAGCTCATAATCAACCCAGACCAGAAAGAGTAAATCATAACTTTCCAAAAACTGCATCTTGGCTTACTCCTCTGTGGTGAGAAAAGCATCAGATGCTTGCTATAAAACTGAATTTTTATGGTGCACGAGTGCTAAGTCACTTCAGTCATGTCTGACTCTCTACAACCCTAGGGATTGTAGCCCGCCAGGCTTCTCTATCCATGGGATTCTCCAGGCAAGAATACTGGAGTGGGTTGCCATGCTCTCTTCCAGGGGGTCTTCCTGACCCAGGGATCAAACCCATGTCTCTTGCGACTCCTGCATTGAAAGGTAGGTACCACTAGCAACACCTGGGAAGCCCTAAGTAGGAGAACATTAATAATAAGCAGTATTCTAAGAGTTTTATATGTGGACAATTAGAACAGCATTCCTTCATTTAATCCTTACATCTATCCTAGGAAATGGGTACCACTATTATCACTTTCACTGCCTTTGTATTCAACGTTTGGGGTATCGGGATAAAGATACCTGACACTTGGTCAATTTTTCTAGCCATTTGTACCAGTAATGAGATTAAGGTAGAGAGATGTTAAGTTACCAGGGTCCCCAGGTAACAAGTGGCAGAGTCAGAATTCAAATCCAGAGTCCACATTCTCAGCCTCTTTATGATGCTGCCTGGTAGCCAGCACATGCTCAGTCACTGAGTCATGTCTGATTCTTTGTGACCCCTGTGGACTATAATCCACCAGGCTCCTCTGCCCATGGAATTCTCCAGGCAAGAAGACTGGAGTGGATAGCCATTTCCTTCTCCAGGGGGTCTTCCCAGCCCAGAGACCAATTCCATGTCTCCAGCACTGGAAGGTGTATTCTCTACTGCTAAGCTACCCTGGTGGCTAGAGTCGGTTGTAAAAGACTAGTCTGTCTAACCTCAATTATGTTGTTTCCAGGTAAAGTACCTTTTATTTGGAGAAAACTCAGTAAAGTAAAAGGTTGGGAATACACAAAGCTTAGAGAATTGGATGCCAAACAGCCTGAAACCACAGCAGTAAACACCATGAGATAAATACTACTTTGTTTTTCTACTCATAGATGTCGATTAACCTTTGATCTAACATTCTATGGTTCTTCCTCCACAAAGAAGGCTGAGTGATGAAGAGTTGAGGCTTTTAAACTGTGGTGCTGGATAAGACTCTTGAGAGTCCCTTGGACTGCAAGGAGATCAAACCAGTCAATCCTAAAGGAAATCAACCCTGAATATTCACTGGAAGGACTGATGTTGAAGCTGAAGCTCAAATGTTTTGGCCACCTGATTGGAAGAGTCAACTTAATGGAGAAGACTGTGATGCTGGGAAAAATTGAAGGCAGGAGGCCAAGAAAGTGACAGACGGTGAGATGGTTGGATGGCATCACTGACTCAATGGACATGAATTTGAGCAAGCTCCCAGAGACAGTGGAGGACAGGGGAGCATGGTGTCCTCCTGCAGTCCATTGGGTCTCAAGAGTCAAAAATGACTTAGCAACTGAACAACAGCAAAAGCCATCTATGGACAGCTCTGTGTTTCAGGGGTGATGAAGATGTGATGGTTGGTATAGAGTGGTACATGCTTGTTCTAGAAGGTTTTAAAGAAGGGATTCTTCCTACTCAAGCCTCTACAGCACAGCACATCCTACCTAAAACACACATCTTTCTAAGTAAGGTATTCACACCTCTAGTTTTCCAGATTCAATCAGCAACTGTCCAAGAAATTAGGGATACATTCACCAAGTCAAAAAGCAACAAAACACAGCTCGGTCTCATCTGTCTCACTACACGAAGCCCTCCTAAGAGGACTGACGTCTTCAGCAGAATCAGGGAGACCTAACGAAATGGTTTGATGGCCCCATGTTAATTCTGACATTTAGTTGTTCTGTCTACCAAATCTTGGCTGGTTAGCGTGGGTGTTAGCCTTAGCACACACCCTCTTACCTGGTCTTGGACCAGTGCTCCGCCAAAAGCCCAGATGGCAGCAAACACAAAGTAAAGCTCGTATGTGTCCTTGGGGCAGTCTGCAGGGATGTCCTCCTCGGTCAGCAGACACTCAAGAAGGTGGCACAGCATCTGGACTGTGCTCTGCTCTGGGATTGGAATTATCTTCTTAAATCTGAAGAGAGAGAGACCCAGATATGTTCTAAAACACTGGATTATTCCATCCTAGTGGTGCTGTTGGACAACTATGGAAACTTGCTGGTGTCTGTGGATTTGACAAGTCCATGTGGCTTTGTAGCAGCAAAAGCTTTGGTATGATAGAGGCCCAGGGTGGCTGATAAGCAAACCCTAGGTTCCCAGCTGGCTCAGGGGTAAAGAACCTGTCTGCCAATGCAGGAGAGATGAGTTCGATCCCTGGGTTGGAAAGAACCCCTGGAGGAGGGCATGGCTACCCACTCTATTCTTGTTTGGGAAATCCCATGGACAGAGAAGCCTGGTGGGCTACAGTCCATGGGGCTGCAAAGAATTGGACATGACTTAGCAACTGAACAACAACTACAACTTGTACCTTCCTCCAGATACACCTGTATAGCACTCACAGAAGGCTCTTTAAATCTCCCTTCTCTTCACTCACCTCTCTTCCTGCCTGGACTGCCAACAGGCATCTCAACTCCATCCTAATGTATGTTCACTCTGCCGTCTGCCACACTTGGAGGGGACTGCCTGGGGACGTCTGACTTTGGGGACAGGACAGAACATCAGCAGGACACCAGCCATAAGCCAACGGGCTCTTTGTCACTGCTTTAATTCTTCGCCTTCCTCACTGTTTGGCCTACCTGGTTCTGAGAGCATCTAAGCAGGTCGGAAGGTACTTGTCAAACAGGATGGTTAGGTTGGCTCTCTCTGTCTGGATCTCTCTCCTGTCGATCCAGCTGCTCACAGGAGGGTTCCAGCCCAGGTCTGCCGGGTTAATGTACAGGATCCCTGGGAGCATAGAGAATATAACTTAGTGACATGTCCATAGAGCTCAGGATATTCTTCACCCCAGAGTTATTTTCTCTGTTAAAAAAAAAAAGTACAGAAGACTGGCCTTGAAAAGAACAAAGGGGCTTCCCTGGGAGTCCAGTGGTTGAGACTTTGTCTTCCAGTACAGGGGTGCAGGTTCAATTCCTGATCGGGGAACTAAGATCCTACATGTCTTGTGGCCAAAAAGCCGAAACATAAAACAGAAGCAATATTGTCACAAATTCAATAAAGACTTTAAAAATGGTCCACAGCCAAAAAAAAAAAAAAAAATCTTGGAAAAGAAAATAACAGAGATCTGGCTGAAATCTGAGAGGGTTTGCTATTGGGATCAGCTCTGATGGCCTGATAATATCTGATGGACAGCAGTGTTGAGAAGGATCCTGAGGCCAAATCCAGGCTCAGGAGGAAAGAAGACTGTGATTGATTAGCAATACTTGTCATGGTGAGGAAGTGTGCACATTCATGGTGGCCCCCAAAAGGATATTGTTTAGTTGCTCAGTCGTGTCTGGCTCTTTTGTGACCCCATGGACTGTATCCTGCCAAGCTCCTCTGTCGATGGAATTCTCCAGACAAGAATACTAGAGTGGGTTGCCATTTTCTCCTCCAATGGATCTTCCTGATCCAAGGATCAAGCCCACGTCTCCTGCATTGGCAGGCAGATTCTTCATCACTGAGCCACCAGAGAAGCCCCTCAAAAGGATAAGTCCATGTCCTAACCAGGAAAGTTAAGGTATAAAGTCATTTTGCACCAAGATGTAATGAGAACTTCCAATGCTCAGTCATCTTCACTAGCCTCCATGGAAGCTAGAACCGACCGGAAAGTAGCCTAATTCGAGGCATTTCTGTGCAGAAGACAGTAGTTGTCCAGCTCAGGGGCTATTCCTTTTTCTGTTACTGTAAACATTTCTGAACTGAGAAACTCACATGATCCTGGCTGCAGAACACTGGCTCACTTCCGTGGGTATAGATTAGGGCTGAGGATTAGGCCAGAGTTTTGGATGGTCAATGTCTGACTCCTGTTTGGAGCTTTGGTCAGAGCCAGTGAAACAGGTATCACTAGAGGCACCTGTTTTCAGCTGAGCAGGGGTGCAGGTATTCCCTCGCAGTCCATACCTGCTCTGGAGACAGTGGCTGGTGTGGCCGTGCGCAGGTGGCTGATCTCAAAGAGAAGCCTCATGGTGGGATTCAGAGGGATCCTCTCGTTGCTCGCCAGGGTCAGCACCTGGACACGGGGGAGGGGCGCAGCAGGCAGGGAAGAGTTAGGGTTCGAGGCCAGCTCAGTGAAGTTTGGCTTTTATTCCTGATAGGCATTACGAGTAGAAGTATCTTCAAAAGTTTCTACAAAGTCCTCTGTCTCTCCTTCTGTAGCCCCTTATCACCATCCCTGTGTATTGGGTCAGGAAATAAGCTAACTGAAAAGTTAAGTGATGTCAGTGATTTGAATGAACTGGACCATATTGATGCTTTTGAACTGAGGTGCTAGAGAAGACTCTTGAGAGTCCCTTGGACTGCAAGGAGATCAAACCAGTCCATCCTAAAGTAAATCAGTCCTGAATATTCACTGGAAGGACTGATGCTGAAGCTCCAGTACTTTGGCCACATGATATGAAGAGCCAACTCATTGGAAAATACTCTGATCCTGGGAAAGATTGAGGGCAGGAGGAGAAGGGGGTGAGAGAGGATGAGATGGTCAGATGGCATCACTGATTCAATGGACATGAGTTTGAACAAGCTCTGGGAGATAGTGAAGGACAGAGAAGCCTGGTGTACTCCAGGTCATGGGGTCTCAAAGAGTCAGACACGACTCAGTGGATGAACAATAACAACAACAGACCGTATTAAAAAAAATTAGATAATTAAAGGAAAAGAGCTCAGTTTTCATGTAACTACTGTTTCTTTTAAAGGGCTTCCTCTGGAAGAGTATGTTCCGTACATGTTAAAGCCATCGTAAAACCTCTAATTTGGGTGTGCTCTCCAAATAAGTGCTACCAACTTTACAGCCTCTTTATAGGCAGCCAGTTTCCAATGTTTATAAAAAAATAAAACATCCTCTCCATGATAAAGATTGCCCACCACTGGGGACACTTGACAGGCTCAGAATGTTTCTGATCATCAGTTTCCTTTATTTATAAACAAAGGGAAAAATCCCTTTAAAAAAAAAGATTTGAATAAATGATTTAAGATTCTTTGCAGCTTTAAATACTGAATTTATCTACATGTGGAAGATTCTAAAGGAAATTACAACAATGCCAAAAACATGTGAGTGACGGCAGTGGCTTTGAAATAACTGAAAGTTATTGTATGGGATGAATCAGTTCTGAGACACCTGTTAAAGATGATGTGAAAGTGAAAGTCACTCAGTTGTGTCTTACTCCTGTGACCCCATGGACTGTAGCCTGCCAGGCTCCTCTGTCCATGGAGTTTTCCAGGCAAGAATACTGGAGTGGGTTGCCATTTACAGGTAGCTGAAATCAGGATCTTGAAGAGTTATCTGCATCCCATGCTCACCAGAGTGCTGTTTACAACAGCCAAGATGTGGAAACAACCTGCGTGTCTGTCAATGGATGAATGGATAAAGAAGATGTCACACAGAGAGAGAGAGAGAGAGAGAGAGAGAGAGAGAGGATGGAATACTATTCAGCCATAAAAAGAAGGAAATCCTGCCATCTGTGAAAGCATGGATGGCCTGGAGAGCATTATGGTACATGAAATGCCAGACAGAGAAAGGCAAACAATAGATAATCTCACTTATGTATGGACTCTTAAAAAAAAAACTCATAGAAACAGAGATTAAATTGGTGGTTGCCAGGGATGAGGGTATTGGGTGGGCAATTATAAACATCCCAGTTATAAGATGAATAAGCAATGTAAGACCTGGTGACTATAGTTAACAATATTGTACTGTGTACTTGAAAGCTGCTGAAAGAATAGATCTTAGTACCATCTTTCTAGATTTCATATGCATGAGTTAATATATGATATTTGTCTTTCTCTTTCTGACTTTGTATAATAGGCTCTAGGTCCATCTACCTCATTGGGACTGACTCAAATGCACTCTTTTTTATAGTTGAGTAATATTCCATTGCATATATGTATCACAATTTCTGTTTCCATTCATCTTGTCAGTGGACATCTAGATTGCTTCCAGGTCCGAGCTATTGTAAAAAGTGCTGCAGTGAACATTGGTGTATATGCATCTCTTTCAATTATGGTTTTATCAGGGTATATGCCCAGAAGTGGGATTGCTGGGTCATAGGGTAGTTCTACTTCTAGTTTTTTTTTTTTTTAAGGAATTTCCATACTGTACTCCAATTTAAAAAAATTAAAAAAGAATAGATATTAGGAGTTCTCACCAGGCACACACAAAGGTAATTATGGGAAGTGATGGAGTTGTCAACTAACCTTATTGTGGTAATCATTTTGCAATATACAAGTATTTCAAATCATCAGGTCGTACACCTTAAATGTATACAATGTTTTAAATCAATTATAACAATGTTATATGTCAACTTTATCTCAATAAAGCCCCCCCAAAAATTAAAAAAGACACCAGTAATAATTCCTTACTCAGGGCCAGCCCTACTGTGGAATCAGGCTTTCAAATATGCCTGGGGAGCTGGTTTCACTGATGATTGGGGATGACATGGGGCTCCCCTTCCCCCTTGGTACCTTGTTATCATCCATGACAGTGTTCAGAGACTCGATCCACATCGGATCAATGTCACCATCCAGTAAAATCCATTTGGGCCCATCATGGGTGATGTTGGCAAGCTCCCGCATGATAGAAGAGAACAGTCCTAAGAGGAACCACCGATATCTCAGTTTCCAGGTCACCATCAATCTCCTTTCTCTTAACACAAACTTTCCCTATCAGCTACAACCTTCAGAAGGAGGTGCATACAGGACACTCAGGTCAGAACTGGCCTTTACTCCTACTCTACCAAAAATCTGATCATGCCCAGGTTCTGTTCGTTCTGTGCTCCAGTCTGACTTTTTATGAGAATGACAACAACAGCGAAACTAGAAGAAAACCTGATGGTCCTAGTTTTTTTTTTTTTTTTTTTTCATTTTTAATTGGAGAAAAATCGCTTTACAATGTTGTGTTGGTTTCTGTCATACAACAATGGAAATCAATTATAATTACATATATTTATCCCTTTCTTCCTGGCTCAGTGGTAAGGAATCCACCTGTCAATGCAGGAGCCACGGGTTCAATCCCTGGGTCAGGAAGATCCCCTGGAGAAGGAAACGGTCCAAGGTTTTAAAGTGACAAGGGACCCAGCAAATCATTTCAACAGGCAACTGCCACGTGATGGAATTACATGAAACCTTCTTAGGTAAGGTCTTCATTCTTTGAAGCTGCAGCCAGGAAAATCTTTCCAAATGCAGGCTTTGAGAGAAGGCCTGATGTGATTTTAGTTAGCATTACATGAAATTTATATCTTAATTTGGATCGAATTGATTTTTTATAATACTAAGCCTTCCCAGTCAATAATATGGTATGTCTTTTCATTTGTTCAAATACTGTTTTATGTTCCTTAATAAATTTTTACAGCATTTTCAATGTATCTCTTTGGCTAAATGTATTCCTAAGCATTTGTTTTTATTGTTATTGTGAATGGAATTTTCTCCCTGTATTTTCAGTTTTAGCTGGCTGCTGTTAGTATAGAGATAAGCTTTCAAATTGGTGCACTTCACTTTACACTGAGTTATCTTTAATACTTTTTCTCATTGATTCTAGCGATTTTTCAATAATGTCTTGAATTTTCTAGATATAAAGTTGTACAATCACCAAAATGATAATTGTCTTTTTCCTCCAGTTTATACCATGTATTCCATTTTATTGTTTTTACTGCATTTTCTAGACTTCCACAGGCAAAGCACAATAATAATGTTGGTAATAGATCTCTTTGGTTTATTCTTAATGTTAATGGAAGTTGAGCTATTCTTTTTGGTTCTGCACAGAGGTTGGTATCAAGATTATTTTGGCTTCACAAAATGAAATAAGAGGTGTCCTTTTTATGATTTTTGGAATTATCTTTTCTTAATTCAGCTACTATTTAAAAACTTTCCATTTCATTAGTTTACTTTTTCTATTTCTCATTGAGTAAATTTTGTTAAAATTATATTTGGTTAGGGAATCATCTATTTCTTTCAGTTTTTCAAATATGTATGATCTAATTGTGTCTCTTTTAATCTTGTCTATATCTACTGTTATATCTTTTTTCTAATTCCTTATCTTGTCTACATTTACTCTCTCTTACCCCCATTAATCATGCTCACAATGGACTTATTGGTCTTTACCAAGAACCAATATTTATATTTGTTTGTCCTTCCTATATGTTTTTGTTCCTTCCCACTAATTTCAGCTTTTATCTGCATTAGTTTCTTCCCATCTTTCTTCAGGTTTAGTTTATTATTTTTTGAATAATTTCTTAAAATGGATACTGATTTCCTCTTTTTCTAGCCTATCTTTTGTAATAATGAGAGTTTAGAAATTTTCATTATTGGCTTTCGCTGTGTCCCAGAGGTCTCTGTATAAACATTCTTTATTTTGCTTCCAAGGATTACAATTAAATTTTCCCTTTAATCTAGGGGCTCAGTGTTTCATGATTGCAAGTAATAAAACTAGTTTTGGTCATTTTCTTGCTATTTGTTTCTAATTCTATTGTATTAGTATCAGACAAAGTGGCCTGAAAAATGGATACTTTTGAATTCATTACAATTTCTTCTGTGCCCAGCTAAACTTTAAATTATTTGAAATGTTCCACGAACCTACCAAGAAAGGAATATTTTCTATTTACAAGATGCAAAGTTCTATATCTTTGTGTAACATTGTGTTTGATGACACATTTCCTAATTCTTCTATGCCTATATTTATTTTTCTGTCTATTGAATCTTTCTAATATTGAAAAAGATGTATTAATATAAACCACTGTATTTCTATTTTTATCAAGTTCTCTTAAAAATTTTTGAAAAGTTATATTCCATTTACTTGGAAGGTCTCTTGTTTAGGGAACACAGATTTATGATTATTATAAGCCTTTGTAGATTTCTCCATATTTAATGTATATATTTAATAAAACTTTAATTTAAAATTCTCACACTGAAAAATTCGAATTATATTTTGTGAGCTTAAATTTAAGATGGAAGAAGTGTCTAAGACTATCCAAGAAACTACAGAAAAGTATTGAGGAGGGATTTACCTCATCAGACAGGAAAATGATATAAAATGATAACAATTAAGATAGAATGACATTAGTACAGGATTAAATAAATAGGTGATGGAACAGAATAGAAAACCCAGAATCAGATGTCAATACAATTTTCCCTTTCAATATGTGAATTTCAAGTCTGTGGATTCAACCAGCCATAGATTGAAAATATTTGGGAAAAAAAAACAATTCTAGAAATTTCCCCAAACTGAAAGTTGAATTTGCCATATTCTAGCAACTATTTACAAAGCATTTACATTGCTTTTGCAACTATTTACACAGCATTTACATTGTGTCAGGTGTTATAAGTAGTCTAGAGACAATTTAAAGTTTACAGGAGGAATATGTATGCTGCTGCTACTGCTAAGTCGCGCCAGTCGTGTCCGACTCTGTGCGACCCCATAGATGGTAGGATAAAGCAAATACTACTCCATTTTATATGAGATCTTGAGCATCTGTGGATTTTAGTGTCTGCAGGAGTTCCTGGAACCAATCCCCCAGGGATACCAAAGGAAAACTGCACATGTGAAAAGTTGGAATTTAAATTCAGAGATAAAGGATACTTTACTTAATAAATAGAGATTTCACAGTCAGTTATCCATCTGGGAGGAAATAAAGCTGATTCTCTACCTCACCTCATACTTGATGATCACTCGAGTCCGACTATGTGCAGCCCCATAGACTGTGGCCCACCAGGCTCCTCTGTCCGTGGGATTTTCCAGGCAAGAATACTGGAGTGGGTTGCCATTTCCTATTCCAGGGGATTTTCCTGACCCAGGGATCAAACCTGCGTCTCCTGCATTGGCAGGCAGGTTCTTGACTGCTGTGCCACCTGGGAAGCCCAGCTAAGCCCCAGAATAAATTTCAGATGAGTAAAAAATGTTAATGTGAAAAGAATCTTTAAGACCAAATTTATGATATTATGCCTCTAAAATTAGAAAGAGTCATAAACTAAATAGGAATCCCAGATGCTAAAAAGACTAGACAGACATAATTTCCTTTTATAAAGTACATGGTATACATGTCATGAAGTATCTGTAGACAAATGGAAGACAGATAAAAACCATTAATGGTGCATATAACAGACACAAGTTTAATGTCTTTGACATATTTAAAAAAACACTTACANGGGGGGGGGGGGGGGGGCCTGAGATGACCTCACTCTGGAAACCACACTGCTTTTGGAAAGAGATCTGATCAGCTTGTGGAGAGTTCTATTTTCTTTTCTGCTCACTTCCAGTGACAGGATACCCTTTCAACACCTATCACAATTTTCAGTTCTCGGAAGCTGATGCTGAGGTCAGCACCCAGTGAGCATGGGCTTGGGACAATGTGAGTCACTGTAGAAGGGACCAGCTCCTTGGCTCCACGAACTCTTGCGGACACTAAAATCCATGGATGTTCAAGACCTCATATAAAATGGAGCAGTATTTGCATTATCCTATACACTTGCACAGATGCATGTGTGGTCAGTCTCTAAGTCGTGTCCCACTCTTTGCGACCCCATGGACCGCAGCTGGCCAGGCTCCTCTGTCCATGGGACTCTCCAGGCAAGAATACTGGAGTGGGCTGCCATTTCCTTTTCCAGATGATCTTCCTGACACAAGGATGGAACCCATGCCTCCTGCAGTGCAGGTGGATTCTTTACCACGGAGTCACCTGGGATGCCCCATCCTATACACATCCTCCTGTGGTCCCAGGATGCTCCTGAGATGAGTCTTCTGTAGCAGCCTCCCCATCACTCCTAGCGTGGTACAGACAGGAAGGTACCCTCTGTGGGATGCTAGACTGCCTGTTCCTTTGGGAATGAGAGGTGGGCTTCCCTGCCTGACCCATGTCAGACCCTCTACCAGGCAATGTGGGAACCCCATGACTTGCAGTTCAGAATCATGGAACAGTAGCGGAGAAGGCCTGCCCTGTTTATCCTCTCTACGAGCTGAAAAATCCCCAAGGAGAGAAAGTACCCCAATGGATGAGGCTCCTCTCCAAGTCAAAATCAGTTTCTTTGATTCTTTTCACCTCCTCCCACCCCAAACTGATCAGCTCGGCTTTCCCTCCTCCGCACCCTCCCCACTGCCTTCTCATTGGCCCAAGTAGCTAAGACAGAAGCATCCCATCCTTACCATCCTTCCATTCTCGTGTGGCTGGATTGATGATGCCAAAGAGCTCATCATTGGTGACCGCTTTGGGGTTGAGGTCAGTCCAGACAGGGCGGCGTTTCATGATCTGGTAGGTCTTGTGCAAGGACCTCAGCACCTGCGACTTGCCAGTTCCCGCACTGCCCACCACGAACACGGAGTGCCGCACCGCCAGGAGCTCCTCCAGCTGGACCACCTGGGAGACGTGGAATCCGGCCAGAGGGACCACTTGTCACTCACCCACATCCCCACCGCTCCCCTGTGAGCCAGGCTGATGCCTGAAGTGAGACCTGAGGTCAACACAGGAAGAGTTACTCCCCCCAGGATATAATGGGGTCCTAAATGTTGGGGCAACATGATTCATTTATTCACTTATTCATCATATGAGTAATTATTAGTAACCTCTAAGTGCTAGAGAGTGTGTCTGGTGAGAGAGATTCAGAGCTGACTCTCCAGCCCTCCCTGATCTCATAGTCTGATAAAGAAGCAAGTCACACTGACAAACTGCTATAATGTAAGGAGATAATTGAGATGTGGGTTCAATCCCTGTGTCAGGAAGATCCCCTGGAGGAGAAAATGGCAACCCACTCCAATATTCTGGCCTGGAGAATCCCATGGACAGAAGAGCCTGGTGGGCTACAGTCTATGGGGTTGCAAAGAGTCCGACATAACTGAGCCCATGCACACATGCATGAAGGGCATAACTGCTGTGGCTGATGTGTTTACTAAACGCTGTGGAAGGAGATTGTTGTTGCTGTTCAGTAGCCAAGTCGTGTCTGACTTTTTGCAGCCCCATGAACTGCAGCACGCCAGGCTTCCCTGTCCCTCACCATCTGGAGCTTGCCCAAATTCATGTCCTTTGCACTGGTGATGCCATCCAACCAGCTCATCTTCTGCCTCCTTCTTCTCCTCCTGCCTTCAATCTTTGCCACCATCATGATATTTTCCAACGAGTTGGCTCTTCACATCAGGTGACCTGAGTATGGGAGCTTCAGCTTCAGCATCAGTCTTTCCAAGGAATATTCAGGGTTGATTTCCTTTAGGATTGACTGGTTGATCTCCTTGCTGGCCAAGGGACTGTCAAGAGTCTTCTCTAGCATCACAATTTGAAAGCATCAAACCATCCCTGGAAGAGGGAATGGCAGCCCACTGCAGTATTCTTGCTATGAGAACCCCATGAACATGAACATTATAGCAACAGATAGGAAGTAACAATAGATTTTATATAGATAAAGGGAATATGAAAGGCTTCACAGAGGATGGGGCATTTGAACTGGGGCTTCAGGGATGAGTAGGAGTTTGCCAAGAAGACGGATGGGAAGGATATTCCAGGCAGAGGAAGCAGCACAAAGGCTTATGGTATGACAGAGCATGATGTGGTTGACCAGAAGGCTTGATGAGGCTGGAGTCAAGGAGCTCCCTGGGAGACAGTGGTTGCGTGGAAGGCATCATCACTCTTGTTGCAGTTTGCCTTCAGGCTCTCCTTTCTACACTCCTGTATGCTTATTGGAATGAAAATGTGATCATGTCACTGTCATCAGACTGTCCCTTCAGTGATTCTCCTAAGTTCTGGTGATGAAATCCCAAATCTTTACACTGATTTACAAGGCCCTGTTGCAATCTGGCCCAAATCAGCTTCTAATTTTGTCTCTCATCCCTCAACAAACACACATATCAGGTAGATGACTGCTTGAAGCTCTTCAATGATTCTCTTTCCCATTGATATGCCTTATCTACTTTTGAGGTTCTTTTCCTTAGAGACCATGGAACTGCTGCCTTGATTTGGGTTAACTGCTTTCTAGGTCTGCTGACAGTGATAATTCAAAGACTTCCCTTATTTGATTCTTGAAGTTTTGAATCCCATGACATTTGTTTTTCATCCATGTTTTGTTGTAGTATGTTCTCAAATAGCTTAATTGAGTAGGATGCCTATTTAATATTAATAAAATCTGTAACTCCTTGAAAATATCTGATAATCTGGGACATAGTGGAGTTTTGAGATCGTCTCCCCTCAGAACTTTGAAGGAATGGTTTCCTGGTCCTGCACTATCTGATATTGTTGGTGAGAGGTTCTGACATCATCCTGAATTTCATTTCTTTGTGGGTCACCTGTACACCTTCTCAATCTATCCCCCAGCCAAGAAACTTTCATTTTTTCCTCTTGACCCTTGATTTCTGAAATCCCATCATGATGTGTCTTAACATTCCCCGCTCCTGGCTGTTTTCCCTTCTCTTCCTCATTCCCTGCCCTCCTTCACTACCTGCTCTGAGCCCAGAGCTGCTCCGAGGTTCTGCTTGGCAGACTGGCTGCCTCCTGGCTCCGTGTCCCCTGAAGCCCTTTCTACACCTGCAATCCCCCTCTGCTCTGCTTGATCTGTCGGTCTTCTTCCATCCTCTCTCCATCTTTCCAGAAATTTACTGTTATATCTCCTTCTCAGATTTCACACTTCCACGGGATTATTCCTTTTCCTTCCAAGTTAATAGTATCACTTTTAAAAGACTGCAGGATGCCTTCTCAAACCAGGGCTTTTTGATGAAATAACACATTGCTGAGTTTTTAGGGCTTTAGGTACAATACTCTGTACATTTTGAGTGAAAGTGGTAATCTCTCATTCGTGTCCAACTCTTTGCAACCCTGGAGCCCATGGATTGTATCCTTGCCGGCCCTTCTGTCCACGGGATTCTCCAGGCAAGAATACCGGACTGGGTAGCCATTCCCTTCTCCAGGGGTTCTTCCCGATCCAGGCATCAAACCTGGGTCTCCTGCATTGCAGGCAGATTCTTTACCATCTGAGCCACCAGGGAAGCCTTCTTTGCCCTAAGTGTTACTTTTGCTGAGCAGTTTTGCAGAAAGTAACATTTCTGATGCATCAATGTTATTACAGTGCATGAAGTAATTCACAGGAAAGGAACAATGTAACAGAGCCTGTGTCTTATTCCTCTGTGAGGATGTGAACCCCCGATGGGAGGGGCTCTGTCCTTCTCTTGCATTCCTATGGCACATTCCACACTGTGGGTGGCCCTCTAAAGAGCTATTGCTGTTGTTTAGCTGCTCAGTCATGTCCGACTCTTTGAGGTCCCGTGGACTGCTGTCCGCCAGGTTCCTCTGTCCATGGGATTTCTCAGGCAAGAATACTGGAGACAGTTTCTATTTCCTCTTTCAGGGGATCTTCCTGACCCAGGGATCAAACCCGCGTCTCTTGCATTATAGGCAGATTCTTTACCCCTGAGCCACCAGGGAAGCCCCTATAACGAGCTACCAAAGTGAACTGAGTTTTTGCAAAGTTGATGAATATCTGTACATTGAGAGCAGCCCTTCGGATTAAGGACGAAGAGTAACCCATTGTCAAAGAAAAGAATTAAGAGACAAATCTCGGGAGGGAGGAAAAACCCCATGTACCTTGAGCACAAAGTTGTCCTCAGCCTGGAGTTTCAGCTCCATCACCGCCTTCCTAACCAGGGCTTCGAAGTCGAGATCTCTCCTCCGAGGGACATCCAGGGCAGGAAACAGGTCCCCGATCAGGCCCAGGAACACTGGCATGTCGTCAGTTACGATCTTGGGGACGTTGAAGTCTCGCAGCGAGCGCATCAGGACTTGGTCCTCAGGCCGGTCAGGGTCTCCTCGCTTCAGGGACCCGGCCACTACCAGCACAGACTTGATGGCCCTCAGGCCCCAGTCATAGTGATCCTGGGGGGAGGGGGCTGGTGAGACCAGAGATGCTGGACTGTGGGACCCACGGGCTCAGGCTCGTGTCAGCAGAATTAGATATCACGTCACTACTAGGCCACTTGTGAGGTCAAGGTGGGGGCAAAAGAAAAGATCTACAACAGAGCAGATGAAGATTCTGGGTTCCTAGTTCCTGGTCTGGCCTGGAAAGAAGCCACATTTAAGGACCAGAAGCAAAGAGCACTGGGGTGCCATTTGATGTCTGACTCTCTCCCCAGTCTTCGTCCCAGATCTCATGTTCCATCAGGCAGAGACCACTCCCTCCAAGGGCTTTCACTGGCCACTGCAGTGTTTCTTATGGGGCACTGGTAGTCTACGAGGTGTTACTAAGTATTGTATTAAAAGATGGAGTGCTATGACCAAACAGGTTTATCTTTTAAATGCTGGGCTAAGCTAAACTTTTTAGTTAATACTAAACATGTATCTTTATTATCTTAGCTAAGATACTAAGCATGTATCTTTATTATAGAAGTTGCCTTGTTATAGTTTATTTATAGAAGTTTCTTTATTGTAGAAGTCTGCAGAGCTTTGAATAAGCTTATGGGCACAGAGACTATCTATTATGAAACTGAAAAACTGAAAGTCACTCAGTCGTGTCCGACTTTTTGCTACCCTGTGGACTATACAGTCCATGGAATTCTCCAGGCCAGAATACTGGAGTGGATAGCCTTTCCCTTCTCCAGGGGATCCTTCCCAACCCAGGGATCAAACCCAGGTCTCCCGTATTGCAGGCAGATTCTTTACCAGCTGAGCCACAAGGGAAGCCCAAGAATACTGGAGTGGGTAGCCTTTCCCTTCTCCAGTGGATCTTCCCGACCCAGGAATTGAACCAGGGTCTCCTGCTTTGCAGGCAGATTCTTTACCAACTGAGCTATGAGGGAAGCCCATAGAGGGGAGTCTGGTAAGTGGCTCAGACAGTAAAGAATCTATTATGAGAAGGTGCTATGTCTCCCTAATACCCCAGCTCCAGAACCCGTCCAGAGCTGGGACAATCACACTTGAGTGGCCACCTGGTGTAACCAGGGAGGGTTACCTGTTTAGAGAGAAGCTCTTTGCACAGCTGGTAAAGGGTGATGAACTTCCTGGCTAGTAATCGTGCCTCGATGAATCCTTCGGCCACCAGCATGATTTCACAGATCAACTCAAAGTCTGGGACGACCATTGCGCAAGGCCTGTGAGGGGGAGACGTAGCACTGACTGGGTCCCCAGCCACGCCTGGACGGGAGCTTGTGAGAGAAGAGATGCTGGCTGAGATCACAGATGAAGGCATATGTGAGGGTGGAAACTGAGACCTTGGCAATGATTTCATCGAAGATTTTCAATGTTAAAAATGAATTAATAAGGGTAAAGGGGGTGGACTTGCCCGCTCAAGGTGATGGATGATGTGATCAGATGGGGACAAAGTTGGAGCTACGACTCAAGTCTTGCAAGCTAAGTCTAGTGTGCCTTACACAAGGCACAGAGTAGTGAAGCCTGAGTAATTAGCAGATGACAGGTTAGTAATTAGCCCCAAATTATCACAGATTTGGGGCTACTGTTGAAGAACCGAGTCTCTCTAATCTCTCTAGTCCTCATCCTAAACTTGTCTCCTCCAAGTCCAGAGCCTCAGAGCTTATTCTAAACTTATTTGCATACAAATGCCAAGGCCTAATGCCAAGAGCTGAAGTCAGTACCTGTTAACCGCACCTTGCCAGAAAATGAGAATTAGAATACCGAACAGAATTTTTATCTGTATATAAGAATTTACTGTGATTTTTTTCCTTCTAGTTCTAGTAACATTTTATCTTATGGTTACTTAGCTTTTAAAGAATTTCTTTCCCTTGTATTTCTTTTCTTTTTTTTAAAGTATGCATTGAATTTGTTACAACATTGCTTCTGTTTTATGCTTTGGTTTTTTGGCCATGAGGCACATGGAATCTTAGCTCCTTGACCAGGGATTGAATCCCCACCTACTGCATTAGAAGGCGAAGTCTCGACCACTGGACTGCTAGAGACGCCCCTGCGCTGTGCTGTGCCTAGTCGCTTCAGTTGTGTCTGACTGCAACACTGTGGCCAGTCAGGCTCCTCTGTCCCTGAGATTCTCTAGGCAAGAACACTGGGGTGGGGTTGTCAAACCCCCTTCCAGGGGATCTTCCAGACTCAGGGATCAAACCCATGTTTCTTACATCTCCTGCATTGGTAGGGGTTCTTTACCATTAATGCCACCTGGGAAGTCCAGAGAAGTCCCTACAATTACTTAATTTTAAAATTACTAGGTATGTAATAGGAGCCTAGAGTTGTTACGTGTCTTTAATTGCATTCCTCTATAAGGAAAGCTATGACAAACCGAGGTGGCATATTAAACAGGACAGACTTTACTTTGCTGACAAGGGTTTGTATGGTCAAAGCTCTGGTTTTTTGGTAGTCATGTATGTATGTGAGAGTTGGACCATAAAGAAGAGTGATCGGTGAAGAACTGACGCTTTCGAACTGTGGTGCAGGAAAACACTCTTGAGAGTCCCTTGAACTGCAAGGAGATCCAACCAGTCAATCCTAAAGGAAGTCAGTCCTGAATATTCATTGGGAGGACTGATGCTGAAGCTGAAATTCCAATACTTTGGTCACCTGGTGGGAAGAACTAACTCATTAGAAAAGACCCTGATGCTGGGAAAGACTGAAGGCAAAAGGAGAAGAGGACAGCAGAGGATGAGGTGGTTGGATGGCATCACCAACTCAATGGACGTGGATTTGAGCAAACTCCAGGAGACAGTGGAGGACAGAGAAGCGTGGCATGCTCCAGTCCATGGGGTTGCAAAGAGCTGGACACAACTGAGAGACTAAACAACACCATGCATCACTTCTGGGAGTGTCACTCAGCACTACTGTTTGTGGAAAGCAACTTGGCAATGTGTGTCGAGAGCCTTAAAAATGTTTCTCCCTGTTAACTCAGTGATTCCATTTCTGGGAACCTAGCCAAAGAAAATAATCATGCATACAAAAAAACTACTTATGTATATTTTACCATGATGCATAAATTTATTCTAAATGTCAGAAACAGTCTTAATGTTTAACTACAGGGGACTTGCTAACTACATTGTGGACCACGCACTTGATAGAATAAAACACAGTCATGAAATGAGATTTCTTAAGAATATCTAACAGAAGAAGAAACTATTTATGATAGGATTATGATAAACTATGAAATTAAAGAACAATGCAAAACTGTGTGTAGACCACAAACATACACTACAAACGCATAAATTCTATGCCTGTAAAGGACAGAACACAATTTGGCAAAAAAAAAAAATCATTTTATGGTTGATGGCATTAAATGTGCTTTACATAATCTACTTTTTAATATATGTTCTACATTTCTTCTCACATATATGTCATATGTTTTCAGCAGAAAGAATAAAGAAGCTTCTCTCTAGGGTCCTTGCATGCCCAAAGCAGAGTGGACGCTCACCTGAACAGAGCCTTGAGGTTCTCGGGCAACTCTGTACGACCAGCGTAGCCGGGGTTCATGGTGACGAAGATGCCCACGGATGGGTTCAAGCTAATCTCCTCTCCAAGGAAACTGAAGCGCTGCTTCTTGTCTCGAATTGCATCTTGAATGCTTTTTACCTGGTGAACAAGTCAAGGGAAAATGCCCCCTGTGCGTTCCAGGGGTTGGCTGGTGGCTAAGGCTGGGACCCCAGGGTCACACTGAAGGACAGGCCTGAGGCCTGAGCCCTGGACCCTTTACTAATGGGCACTGGGTGCCTGTCCAAAGGAAATCTGGCCGCCCCTAGCCCCATGCCCATTCCTATCACGTGGTGCCTAAGAGGCTGGAGATGGACAGCTCTGAGCACTGGTCCCCTCCTCCCGCACCGACTGCTGTCCTGAGCACAGTTCTAGGTTAAGTCGTGGGATCCCCACCAGGATCCTTTGAGGGGGGCTCTTTACTACCATCATCCCCTTTCTCTGTAAGGAACTGGATGCACCAAGAGGGGAGCAGTTTGCTGAGCCCTCCCCAGCTGCTCAGCGCTGGCGTCTGCGTCAGAATCCAGGCCTGTGGATTCTGGAGCCTGGGCTCTCAGCCACCACAAGATAGAAAGAAGGAACACCAGGACCTGGGCTTGCCCTAAGGAGTAAGTGAAATCAAGTCCACAAGCAGTTTAGCACACACAAAAGGATGCTCAAAGACAGCAGCTGACCTGGAAACTGTTAACCTGTCCTCCATCACTGCAGTGTGGTCCTTATCTGGTCTTAACTCTCTCAGCTCCTCCCCCATCTACATTTCTAGAACAGACCTGGAAAGCACAGGTGAGTCCAGCAGGGATGGGGTTTCTGGTGAGGAGAGGAAAGAGCCACAGTGGCAAAAGGAGGCTGGGCCAGATGGCCAGGGGCTAGTCATGTCTTTCTAAAGAGATTAGAGTTTTTCTTAAATGTGATCTGGAGCCGGAGGGGATTCAAGCTGAAGCTTGACCTGGTCAGATGTAGATTCTAGATAATTCTTAGAGCAGTGAAGCAGAAACAAAAATGAAATTCACCTATTTATTTCCACACCTGCTGCTTTGGGAAGGTGTGTGCAAAAATGATCAGCAGCAGAAGGCAGGAAGACAAAAGGGGCTCCCTTGTCCAGCCAGGCCCTAGGACATCTGCAGAACCGGGAGGTCGGGGCCAGTGAAAGGTTTCGAATGAACCTCATTTGTATCAGCTGTGCTCAGGTGTTTAGAACAATCAAGGGTTCCATGGAGATTGGGCTGCAGGGATGTGTGTCTGAATATGTGAGAGAGAGAGAGAGAGACAGAGACAGAGACAGAGACAGAGATAGAGAGCAAAACAGCTGAAGTGTATATAAGAGAAAAGGAGAGGGGAAGAGTTGGACTATAAATAACAGAGAGACAGAGAGCTGGGCCATATACCAGAGGGAGAAGGAGAGGGAGAGGAACAGAGCTGATCATAAACAAAGGAAAGAGAGAGAGAGAAAGAGGCTGAGAGTGAAATAACTGGAGTGTGCATAAGAAAGGAGAGAGGAACAGCTGGATCATAAACAAGAGAGAGACAGAGACAGAGGAGAGGTGGAGAGGGAATCAGAACTGGAACACTTAGGAAAGAGAGAGAGAGACAGACAGCTGGACCAGAGAGACAGACACACAGACAGGCGGAGACAGAGACAGGAAGAGGGACTGGAGGCAGTGGACCGTCCACCACGGGCGAGGCGCTCAGTGTCCAGAAGGGCGGTTTCTGCCAGAACGCCCAGCGGTTCCACAACTGGGATTCAGCTTCTTTCCCAAGTGAAGCTCTAATGACAGAATTGCTGAGCTTGCAGTAATTAGCTTGAGACTGAAACAACTTCTCCGTGCACAGAATGTCCATGCGTCCTGGCCAAGGTGGCCTCCAGAGCCCGGCAGGCTGGCCCAACAGCCCAGACTCTGCTGGTTCCCATGGCGCTCACAGCGCCACTCTGCCCTGGGGCCCCTCACCGCCCTCATCACCCAACGAGGAATGTGGGGTGAAACTATTACAACAATGTGAACCAGCTATACCCCAATACAAAATTAAAGAATCAAAATAAAAAACCCTGCCTGGCTCACTCCATGCTTCTCTCTGCAGGGGCAGATTGAAGTCTGCTTTCTCTGGGAAGTGCAACCCACTCATCACATTTTACATTTTTTAAAATGTTTCTGTGTTTTTACTTTAGACCTTAGGCTCCTCTATAAACGGTGTTACATGGGAGCTCCCCTAGCTCTGAGACACTAGCATTTATTTGTTCAGCGTGTGAATTTTTGAAACACTGCTGTGCTGGGTTCTAGAGCCCCTGCTAGCTGCTCTGCTGTGTCTAACCGCTTCCAGCCACAGCCCAACACACAGTCAGGGCTTGAATCTATGGAAGGGAGGAAGTATCAGGGACACCTGACCAGGGAGCATGGAGGGAGACCCAGGCTGGAGGCGCAGGGAGTGACTGGCCCATATAACCCAAAGCCTAGGGAGCTGGTTGCAACAGTAGTGGCAAAATTCCAGAAAAAAAGGAAAGTAGTATCTTCTATGCTTAAAAAATAGCAGAGTAATTGTTCTTGGAATTGCTTTACCTTTCCCAGTTGGATACGCAATTCTGCTTAACCAATCTGACAGAGAAATGAAAATTTCCACCTACGAGGACACTGAGGCATGCTTGCTTTTGTAGAAGTTACTGGGAAGAGAGATGTGGACATGGGAGGAGCGGAGAGGAGCAGAGACAGGGAGGAGACGGGAGGGCGGGGGAACTGTCAGCTGCTGCAGTTTCTGCACCAACATGCCGTCCTGGATTGCGGCGTGAACACAGTGCAATTTTCTCCTCTTCCCTAGCTCTGAGACACTAGCATTTATTTGTTCAGCGTGTGAATTTTTGAAACACTGCTGTGCTGGGTTCTAGAGCCCCTGCTAGCTGCTCTGCTGTGTCTAACTGCTTCCAGCCACAGCCCAACACACAGTCAGGGCTTGAATCTATGGAAGGGAGGAAGTATCAGGGACACCTGACCAGGGAGCATGGAGGGAGACCCAGGCTGGAGGCGCAGGGAGTGACTGGCCCATATAACCCAAAGCCTAGGGAGCTGGTTGCAACAGTAGTGGCAAAATTCCAGAAAAAAAGGAAAGTAGTATCTTCTATGCTTAAAAAATAACAGAGTAATTGTTCTTGGAATTGCTTTACCTTTCCCAGTTGGATACGTAATTCTGCTGAACCAATCTGACAGAGAAATGAAAATTTCCACCTACGAGGACACTGAGGCATGCTTGCTTTTGTAGAAGTTACTGGGAAGAGGGACGTGGACATGGGAGGAGCGGAGAGGAGCAGAGACAGGGAGGAGACGGGAGGGCGGGGGAACTGTCAGCTGCTGCAGTTTCTGTACCAACATGCCGTCCTGGATTGCGGCGTGAACACAGTGCAATTTTCTCCCCTGGAGGACTATGATTTTAAACAGTAGTAGCTCAGCTTTTGCCCAGGTAGTTGTCAGATCACTGTCTTGAGAATGTGTCCCCAGATATATTCCTGGATGAGAACATGAAAGCATCAGGGAATTCCAGGTTGAATTGATTTCATTTAACTCCAGAAGCAAAAGACAACTGATCTTGGAGACCTCATTACTGCCCTTGTGTTGGGCTGTTTCAAAATTAGGCAAATTCAGTGTCTGTCTGTTATACACTGGGGACAGTGGCTGCTGGGCACTGCCTTATCAGTTAGGATGCTAAGTTTGCTAAGACAGCCTGAACCTGGGCCAGCTGAGAAGGAGTGAAGGGTATAGAGGAGACCCTTCTCTCCTGTCCTGTGTGCTCCAACCTTCTACTTTTCTTCAACCCATTTCCTTCAGGGTGCAAGTAATAATGATAGTAATCATCATCACCCACCCATCATTCCACCACCACCACCACCACCATTATCACCATTATCATCATCATCACCTCACCACAACTACCATCATCATCATCCATCATCACCCTTATTATCATCGCCATCACCACCACCAGCATCACCATCATCACCACTACCATCACCATCATCACCACCACCATCACCATCATCACCATCACTACCACTATCACCATCATCATCACCATGATCACAACCACCATTATCACCACCACCATCACCACCATCACCATCACCACCACCACCATCACCATCATCACCACTACCATCACCATCATCACCATCACCACCACTATCACCATCATCATCACCACGACCAGAACCACCATTATCACCATCACTATCACCATCATCACCATCACCACCATCATCACCATGACCACAACCACCATTATCACCATCACTATCATCATCACCACCATCACCATCACCATCACCACCACCATCATCACCATCACAACAGAGACTGACATTTATTGTGTGCCTACTATGTGTAGGGCTGTAAGTTAACTCATTCAATAATTATTAAAACCAGATCAAGTAGGTACTATTATTAACCCCCTTTACAGATGTGGAATTTGAGATATGGACTTGCCCAAGGGCACATGGCTAATAAGTGGCAGGACCAGAAGTGAACATTGGCAGTGTGGTTTCAGAGCCGACACACATAACCACTTCTCCCCCGCCTTGTCTGGCTAACTCTACAAGAACCTGCTTCTTTTACAATCCCAACTGTATGTGGAACTTGGTCATACAATCTCTGGAGCCCAAGACGAACTGTCTGCTGGCTTTGGTCTGTCTGTCTCTCACTGCTTCCCTTTCGTCCCCTGGCTCCTTGCAGGGGCACATAGAGACAGCCTGTTGGTAACCTCTAGTACCAGGTGCTGCATCGGGACATCACAGATGTGAGTATTCATGAGAGCAGTTCTGTGCCTTTTCTAAGGAGCTGGACTCTGCCCTCTTGTTGAGCCTTTCCTCATCCCCAAGAAACAGGTGCATGGATGTTCGTTCTTCCCATCTTACAGAGGAGGAAATGGAGACTCATGCCAGCATACAGATTCCCTTTGGTAGAGGCCTGTAGATACCCTGTCCTGCTCCTAGGCCTGATTTAAGCAGATGGAGAAAATGCAACAGGGGAAGGGTGAGGAGAGGGTGAAAACAAGAAGATGCAGAAGTCCTCAGTGCTTGGCATGAAGACCACACGCTCCCATCAACTTTTGCCCCCCATACCTGCACCGCCACCACGGACAAGACCTCCACAGAGATCCGATTGAACTCATCAAAACAGCCCCAGGCACCAGTCTGAGCAAGGCCCTTGTAAATGTTGCCGCAAGACTGCAGAGAGATGTACAGAGATTAAATTACCATCCATGCTAGGCTTACCATTACATGTGTAAGTATTGATAATTTTCTATCCCCTTTATTATAGAACTCCTGGTTCCCTAAAGACCACTGGTTAGCAACTGGTCAATCCTAAAGGAAATCAATCCTGAATATTTATTGGGAGGACTGATGCTGAAGCTGAAGCTCCAATACTTTGGCCATCTGATGGGAAGAGTCGACTCATTGGAAAAGACCCTGATGCTGGGAAAGATTGAAGGCAAGAGGAGAAGGGGACAACAGAGGATGAGATGGTTGGATGGCATTGTCGACTTAATTGACATGAGTTTGAGCAAACTCCAGGAGATGGTGAAGGACAGGGAAGCCTGGCGTGCTGCAGTCCATGGGGTCACAAAGTGTTGGATATGACTTAGCCACTGAACAACAACAACAACTATTGCATATATATCTCTCCGCATGCATGGTAAGTCGCTTCAGTCATGTCTGACTCTTTGCAGCCCCATGGACTGTAGCCTGCCAGGCTTCTCTGTCCATGGGATTCTCCAGGCAAGGATACTGGAGTGTGTTGCCATGCCCTCCTCCAGGGATCTTCCCCACCCAGGGATGGAACCCACGTCTCTTACATCTCTGCATTGGCAGGCGGCTTCTTTACCACTAGTGCCAACTGGGAAGCACCAATCTCTCTATCACTCATTTAGCTATTTATATATCAATCAATCATCTATCTATCCATCTCCATTTATCCATCTGCCTACCCCTCCATTCCTCTATCTGAATAGCTGAACAAGAATGGGAAGAGGAGGCTTGACAGTGCTTAGTGAGGCTGTTTGGTTACAAAGGATGTCTGGGGTCCAGGAAGCGGTCACCTTACCTTTGCTGTGTCCCACTACAGCTATACTTACTGTTCTTACTCTGATCTGTGTCTGGACTGGATACACATGGCTGAACTTTCACACAGTTCAAACAAATTGAGGGTAGACTCATCCTCTGATCCTGTACTCTTAGAGGAATTGGTGGGGTCAGGGCTCACTAATCAAGTTTTGAAAGGATTGAGTGAAATGACTGCAGTGACCTCTGGTCATGGGGTCAACTCATCTCTTCCTATTTCCCATGTTAGGTGTGATTTTAAGAAATCTGCCTTTTCTTCTTTAGTCAATATCTCAGGTCTTCCACATCTAAATGTGTGTGTCCTCCATAATGTCCCTCTTGGGAGAATATACTTATCTCAGAAATGCTGCCATTGCTTAACTCTAGAAGCATCTAGAAACTTTAATCTTAAAGCTTAGCTTGTTTCTTTAGAGGGGGAAAAATATTTCTTCTTCCAGCCTGGCTTCAAGAGAAACATTATCTTTATGCATTCATAAATAAAGGCAACCATATTAAAATTTAGTGTGGAGACTATGGGAGCACAGCTATTTTAGGCCTGAATCCTCATTTTGTCTGTTTTCTATGAGAAAACATGGTGCTATAGGATTCTGCAACTCTGTGCAGCAAAATTTTATATACCAGAGAAATGATTAGAGTTGCAGCAGATCAATCTCATTTCAAGAGTTCTGTATGGGGTACCTGCAAGTGCGATCTTGCAATCTCTAAAACTATTTTTAAATTACATTTATTTTGCAATCAATATATCATTTACACCTATAAATATTTGATCTATTTAATGTAATTGTTTTCTTTTTCCACCCTAAATTTATTTACATGCCATCCTATTTTCAAAAGGGACTTATGGCAGTCTACAAAAATACATGCAATAAAAAAACTAAAAATGAGACAGTGAGATAATTATTATGCTTTTATAACTAAGAATCTATATAAGGTCTAACTGTGAGCAGAATGTTGCTAAGAGGTGACCTAATGGGTGTCTAGTTTCCCTTGCCTTTCTTTACGACACAGCACCTGGAATATATTTGTTATTAAAATAATGTAAAAATGACGAGTGCCTGAATGAAGAATATTAGCCTTACACTTGCCTTTTATGTATCTCTTGCTAAGAACAGAGGTTACTGTGGCTTCCCTGGTGGTCCACGGGTTAAGATTCCGTTTTCCAATGCAGGGGACGGGAGTTCCATCTCTAGTCAGGGAACTGAGATCCCGCATGCTGCGTGCAACAGCAGGAAGAAAAGCCCATGTGCTGCAACTGAGACCCAGCACAGCCAAAAATTTTAAAAAAAAGAATCGAGGTTACTCTAGTCTGTCTTCAGAAGCCAAATCTGCCTTTGCAGAGTATTGTGCCCTTGTGGAAATTCTAGAAAAATGCCCACTTTTACAGAAGAGCACATCTATGGCTTTTATATGAAGACTTTAATATCAACCACTTATCAGCCTTTCTGTGGCTCTGGGTCAAGGAGTGAATTTACCCCTTTGGAGATATGTTCAGCTTCCTCATTTTACAAATGATGGAAGGAAGGTCCCAGAGGGGAAGTCACCCATCCGTGGCTGCTGCAAAGCTCACTAGTGGAAGTGGATTCCATGGTGGTGAGGTTTAACAGGAGGCCAATCAGCTCCCAGGGCCAAGGATCCCCATGTCTCCTGTGAAGAAGCAGAGACCTCCTGGTCTGGGTCTCTGAGCTTGGCCAGAGCGGCATGGATAACGCTGATCGATGGTTTGGGCCCCCGCGAGGCTGGGCCTGTACCTTGTAATCCATCTGCTCGGAGCAGTTGAACACGTAGACCATGACGCCCAGCGCTCGGCCCAGGTCCTTGGTGGTTTCTGTCTTGCCTGTGCCCGCAGGCCCTGCCGGAGCCCCACTCATGGTCAGGTGCAGAGACTGGGTGAGGGTGACGTAACACCTGCCACACACAGGAAGGCGGAGAAGGTTGGGGCCCAGTGAGGCAGGGCTGAGGTTCAAGGCCACAAGAGGCTCGACACAGCTTCTGGAAAGGAAAGCCCAGGTCCCACCAGTCTGTTCCCCTCTGTGCTGCGGGAAGAGGTTTCTAAAAGGCACCTTCCTGACTGTCTTGATCTTGCCCTCGCTTATTTATTTCTCTAGCTCACTTCTCACTGTACTCCCCACCTCCCCAGCCCAAGTACTCTTAAGTTCATTTGTGAAGAGGTATTCTCACTTGCTCAGCGCTATGGTCTGAATGTTAGTGTCTCTGCTAAATCCATATGTTGAAGTCTTAACCCCCCAAAGATTGTGGTATTGGGAGGCAGGGTTTTCGGGAGATGACTAGGTCAGGAAGGTGGAGTCCTCATGAATGGACTTCATGCTTTATTAAAGGGATCCCGAACAATCCTTTGTCCCTTCTACCATGTGCATACAAGTCCCCGTGTCCCTGTCCTTTAAGATAAATGACTTTTGCTTTAGTCTCCTAGGTCTCCCCCTGAGCCTCAAAAAGCTGACTCAAGAGTTAATGACAAGGGACTTCCCTGGTGGTCCAGTGGCTAAGACTCCGTGCTCCCAAAGCAGGGCGCCCGAGTTCCATCCCTGGTCAGGGAACTAGATCCCACATGCTGCAACTAAGAGTTCAAATGCCCAAACTAAAAGATCCTGCAAAGACTTATGCAGGAATGTTCAAAGCAGCAATATTTATAATAAGAAACTGGAAACAACTCAGGTGTCCATCAACCATGAATGAACAAACAAAATGCAATGTTATCTATGCAATGGAATGCTATTTAACAAAGTAGTGGAATTAAGTACTGACACATACAACATGGATGAACCTTAAGAACATTAAAATGAAGGAAGTCAGACGCAAAAGATCCCATACTATTCCATTTGTGAAATGTCTGGAAGACACAGAGATAGCACATCAGTATCTATGCAATGGAATGCTATGTAACAAAGTAGTGGAATTAAGTACTGACACATACAACATGGATGAGCCTTAAGAACATTAAAATGAAGGAAGTCAGACGCAAAAGATCCCATACTATTCCATTTGTGAAATGTCTGGAAGACACAGAGATAGCACATCAGTGGCTGCCTAGGAAGGGTGATGGGAGTGAGGTCTGACTGCAAACAGGACGACAGCAACATTCTAAAGCTAAATTGTGATCACAGCTGCACACGTCGAAGAATTTACCAGAAATTATTGATTTGTACACTTGTAATGGGTGAACTTAAAGACATGTAAATTGCATCTCAACAAAGCTTTTAAAACTGTGGCACTGGCTTTTTTAATACCTGGAAAATCAATACAGAAGCTCTCAACCTGCAGTTTAGATGGGGAGGGGCCGTCTGAGGAAGGGGGTGTCTCTGAAATGAATTCTTTGGTTCTGAACCTGATGCTAGAGTTGACTGGAATCTCTGACTTAACACTTTTATCACCAGATGGTGACTGCACCTCCACTGCCACCAAAATTGCTTTGAAAAGATTTGGAGTTCCTGAATTCTCCTTTAATTCAGTGTGAAATTCCCATAGCTACTTCAGCCCTTGACAAAGAAACCCAGGAAAGCAGTTTGCCCAGGTGGAGAGAATATGCAGAATTGCTATTCTGCCTGGAGTTCTCCTGTGTAATGGGGTGAGGAGGGGATGGGCTGGATGACTTTAACCCTGGGGAGCTGAGTTTAGGCAGCTGCATCACTGTTTCCTGTGAACTAAGCTCATGTTGCCGTTCTGTTGTTGTTTAGTTACCAAGTCACGTCCAACCCTTTGTGAACTCATGGTCTGTAGCCCTCCAGGCTCCTCTGTCCATGGGATTCCCCAGGCAAGAATACAGGAGTGGGTTGTCGTTTCTTTCTCCAGAGGATCTTCCCGACCCACGACTCAAGCTCATGTCTTCAGCCCTGCAGATTTCTTTACCTCTGAGCCATGGGGGAGCCCTACAGCTGCCGATCTGTGAGGTGGGCCAGAAGGTGAAGTGAGACAGAAAGTGATTTCGGAGTCGTGTCCGACCCTTTGTGACCCCATGGACTGTGGCCCGCCAGGCTCCTCTGTCCATGGGATTCTCCAGGCGAGAATACTGGAGTGGGTTGCCATGCTCTCCCCTCCAGGGAATCTTCCCGACCCAGGGGTCCAACCCAAGTCTCCTGCACCGCAGGCAGATTCTCTACTGACTGAGCCACCAGGGAAGGCAAGTCAGGGTTAAGGTGAAAAGCCAGGTCCCACCTCACCTTCCTCAGTCACTGTGATCACTTGGCAATGCTTCTCTCCAGCCCTGATAGCTACATCTTCAGAGCTCTATGTGCAGCCTTAACCAAACCTGTGCTCTTAGGCTGAGCTCTGCCTCCACACTGGCCCCAAGACCTTCCATCTCTGCCAGTCTCCGGCTTCTCCCAGACCTTTGAGGGCCTGCTGTAGCCCTGAGCACCCCCAGAATGAAAGGCAACTGCCTTGACAGGGGAATCCTGGCCCCCAGCCAACTCTCCCACCCTTTTAGTGTCCCACGGCGGCCTCTTCTGCTCAGCTGGGGGGCAACTCAGACCTCATCTCGCTGCAGCAGCAAATCTCTCAAGGGATCTGAGAGCCCAGAAGAACAAGGTTTCACAAAAATAGAATTCTCATAGGAAACTCAAGAATCTCCCCAAAGAAATACTCAGATCTGGGTGTCAATCTCTTTTTGAGCATCTACTGAGTTTCTGAGTATCTCTAGAAGAAGCACTTGGGGGGAAATGCCAAAATACATACATACATACGTTTGTGTGTGTGTGCATGTATATATATATATATGTATATAGGCAATTGCTCATATATATTATGGCAACATAATATAATATATATTACAATATATAGGGGAGAAGCTAAGATGGCGGAGGAATAGGATGGGGAGACCACTTTCTCCCCTACAAATTCATCAAAAGAACATTTGAACGCTGAGCAAACTTCACNGGAAACACAGGAAAGGAAGGAGTATTCCTTTCCTCTATGTGTGTTGGGGAGGGCAGGGGTCGGGGGAGTGGCGCTGGCATTACAGTTGGGCCACTGAGCCAGCAGGATGTCCTATTCTTCAGGACACACACTCCTCCTCCAAGATTCTGTCTGCGGTCTTGTTAGACTGTCCATCTCTTTAAATGTCTAAGTCGCTGCTTCAATCTGCTCCTGTTTCCTACTGAGAGGGCAGATCATGCTGTTGTGGATCGAGGCAAGGACTCAGGAGTCAGACACACTAACTTCAAAGCTTGCCTCTACTACAAAGCCTTTGTGAAATCCGCCCAGGTTAATAAACTTTGGTGCCTTTGAAAAAATGTGTCATTGGCGGTCTATCACACAGGATTTTCTTTGCACAAAGGAATTTAGATAGATGTGCTCTCTCAAAAACAACTGCAGAGACTTCCCTGGTGGCCTAGTAGATTAAGACTTAGCCTTTCAAAGCAAGAGGGCATGAGTTTGCTCCCTGGTCAGAGTTGAGATCCTACATGTTTCGTGGCCAAAACACCAAAACATAAAAAACTGGAAGTGATATTGTAAGAAATTCAATAAAGACTTTAAAAATGGTCCACATTTGAAAAAAAAAACTTTAAAATAAACAAACAAAAATAAAACAACTGCAATTATGAAAATGGCAAGGAATCACTAACTAACCCCAACATGAATATGCATTAATTTAATTTGATTGCTTATCTGGAAGACAGATTTTTAATGTTAGAAGAGATCTCAGAGTCTTGGCTCTTTAACCATGCCATTAAACCCTGTCTTCCATTAAACCCTTCAAATACTATCATGCAGCCTTGTCTTCCAGCAAGACATGGTTTATTATTTCCGAAGCTGGCCCCTTCCACCCTGGGTTGGTTCTAGTTGTTTGAAAGGCCTTCCTAGTATTGAGCTAATTGTTTACTTTCTTTGGGCAAGTAACGTCTACAGGTTTTGTTTTTATCTGACCCACCAGGCTCTTGTAAGGACAAGATGAGACAAGAGATAAGATAGTGCCTTGGAAAGTAGAAAGCTGATCCCCTTTCAAGGTATTATCTGTTAAGATAATAAATACAGGAAATGTAGCTTTCCCTTTTCTTTTTTTTTTTGATACAGTCATTCAAATGGCAGATTTAAGAAAATATCAAAGGTGCTGTATCTTGATTTCAGCTATGAATAGACTTGAGGCTATTCTAGCCATGTGGTTTAGCTAATCTTAGAGTTGGTGAAATCATAGTTGATTTTATTCATTTCCTATTGCTACACACACACACATACACACACAGAGGCTTTAAAAAAAAACCCACCCATTTATAATCTCATTTCTATACATAGGAATCCAGGTGGCACCTCTACTGATGGTCTCACAGGGTCAAAAATCAAGGAACCAGTTGACTGGACTCTTATCTAGACCCTCTTGGGGAAGACCTGCTTCCAGTCTCATTTGAATTCTTGGCCGAATTAAGCTTTACCAATTGCAGGACTGAGGTCCTTGATGGAATGTTTTAAAGAATTTTTACTGCAAGGCAGTAGATGGGCAGAATAGGAGATAAATTTACAAAGACCAACTTTTTCCTATACACAACTGAATTTTGATGAGATTCTGTTTGTCAGGTTTTTCTTTTATGGACTATACTTTTGGTGTAACTAAGACATCTTTGCTTAATTTCATTCATCAGAATTAACAACATTTGCACTTCAAAAGATGCCATGAAGAAAATGAAAAGATAAGCAACAGGCTGGGATAAAATACTTGCAAACACATATGCAATATACCCAGAATATACAAAGAAGTCTGAGAACTCAGTTAAGAGTACTAACAGCTCAATCAAACAATAGACAAAAGATATGAACAGAAATTATGCCAAAGAATATATACAAATGACCAATGAGCACATGAAAATATGCTCAATATCATTATTACAGAAATACAAACTAAAACTCAAATGAGATCCTACTTCACATCCACTAGAATGGCTATAATAAATAAGACA